GCAGGCTCAGGTTGAACAGTTGCTGGAGCACTCCGCTCAGCTGATCAGCACAGGCCCTCAGAACTCTGGGACAGATGTTATCTGGTCCTGTGGCCTTACCATGGTGCAGCCTCTTCAGCTCCTTCTTCACCTGGTCAGCCATGATGGTCAGCCTGGCCTGGGGGATGGTGCTCATAGCGCTTTCAGTGCTGCAGGTGTTAGTCGTTAATGGTTAATAATCAAGGTATTGGAATGGCCAAGTCAAAGCCCAGACCTCAACCCCATTGAGATGCTGTAGCAGGACCTTAAGAGAGCTGTGCATAAACAAATGCCCACAAACATCAATGAACGGAAGCAATGTTGTAAAGAAGAGTAGGACAAAATTCCTCCAAAATTATGTGAGAGACTGATAAACTCATACTGAAAACAATTACTTCAAGTTATTGCAGCTAAAGGTGGTTCTACAAGCTACTTAGTTTTCGCACATGGCTTCTGCATGTTGGCTTATTTTTTGTTAAATAAAAAATGACATAGTGGAATCTGTTATGTGTTGTTTGTTACCTGTTAGATTTACCTAATTTTAGGATCTGGCAAGGACCAGATAATTTTTTATGTCCTGATACATGAAACCATAGAATTGAAAGAGGGTGTACTTTCTTTTTCACATGACTGTATGTGCGACTGTTAAAGAATCATGTTGCACTATCCAAAGAACAACAAACGTTTTTTCTGATTTCACATTCTTCTTTAACTCTACACTTCTCCTCACCCATGTTCACTTTCCTGTCTCTGTCTCTTACTCTTTCTCCCTGCTGTTCAGCCCCAGGTGTTGAGTTTGTGGATAATCACAGGGCCACTCTCATTCAGAGGGTGAACCCAGTTGACCCCATAGCGGATGAACTGCTATCAGAAAAGATGATCCATCAGGAGAGCTACAACAGGGTCCATGCTGCTACAACCCCTCAGGACAAAATGAGAGAGCTGTATAAAGTCCTGGATTCTGGGGGAACAACAGTGAAAAACAAGTTCTACTCAATTCTGCAAAAGAACTACAGACCTCTTGTCGAAGACTTGGGTAAGAGCACCATTCTTATTCATACTCACTCTTTTCTCTTGTTTTTTAATTCTATCCTTGCTTCTCACAATGTCATCTGTCATCATATAAAAATTCATTAGCACATAGCAAAAATGACAAACTTCACTTCCTTGCTTACTTGTATATAGTATGTAGTGTATATAGTGATTACCTGTGGATTTTACTGAATATACTACAATCACTAACAACTATTCTTGTGTTAATATTTACTTTTTACTTGTATTTAAAAAGAACTTACTGTCATTATACATAGACCTTATACAAGGTGGAACAACTATAGACAATGAGTCTCACTCATTCTATAACTGCAAGACTCTACATGACTTAAACCAGCAAGAAAACGGATAAAGAGAAGGGAATAACAAATTCTGTTTAGCAAAAAACACAGCAAACCAAACTATGGACTTATAAAAACCCAAGGGGCAGAGGCCTTTATAAATTAGTGTGAACTGTGTGGAGGCTTCTATTTTAGAGCCGGTAAGCAGCTTAGCTGTTGATAGTGAGGGACTTGGGAAGAAGTCTATTAAGTAGCTCTAAGAGGATCTTAGGCTTTTGTTTGCTTTTGATTATTTCTTTCTTTTCACTTTAAATACAATTGTTATGGATTCAGTAAGAGGGACCGAACCAGTGAGTGAACCCACTTGCAGGAGCAAACAAAACCAAGCCGTAATCCAAAAGCAAGCCGTAATCGTAGGAACGAGCCAAGAGTCCATGGGAAGCCAGATATCCGAAAGGGAATGAGTACCGAAGCCGAAGCGTGATCCGAAGTCGTAGACAGCAGAGCAATCCGATAATCCAAGGGTAGCCAGTGATCCGAAACAGAGCGTAAGTAACCAAGCCAAGCCATGATCCGAAAAGCCGAAGTCCAAAGGGAAAAACCGAAAACCGAAAGCCAAGACGAACACAGGGTAGAAGTAGGAGTAGCGCAACCAGGAAGCTCGAAAGGAAAAACCAATACTGAACAACGAGGTAGGGAAGGACAGGTGTTTAAGTAGGATGAGACGGGGGTGTGGTGGTGAATAGGAAAACTGATAGGTAGACTGATGGATAGGGGCTACGCCTACTTCTGCCTCCTCCGTTGCCGGGAGGCAGGGATCGTAACAACAATGTTTTTTACCTTATGGCTGTTTGTGTTTGTTTTACTTATTTATATCTTATTATACTTATAACATATACTTATTTATATGTTACTTGTATATAGCACAGTATGTAGTGTATATAGTGATTAATTGTGGATTTTACTGAATATACTACAATGACTAACAACTATTCTTGTGTTGATATTTACTTTTTATTTACTTGTATTTTAAAACAA